GCAGGAGAAAAGCCAGAAGCAATGAAACCTGTCAAGGAAAACATTATTAAATAAATAAATAAATAAATAAAGTGAACTTAAAGTAGTAACAATAGAGATAGTGAGAAATGATCTTGTTTGGGAAGAATCAGGAGCTAGATGCTAGATTGGGTTTAAGAAAATCTAGGTGCATCATCAGATTTATAACTTTGGAGATGAGGTAGATCTAGTATACAGAGGTAGAAAATACAGGACAGTGTAATAAAGAGGGGTAGAGGCTGGGCACGGTGGCTCATGCCTGTAATTCCAGCACTTTGGGAAGCTGACGCTGGCGGATCATTTGAGGTCAGGAGTTCGAGACCAGCCTGACATGGGGAAACCCTGCCTCTACTAAAAATACAAAAAAAAAAAAAAAAATTAGCTGTGCCTGGTGACAGGTGCCTGTAGTCTCAGCTACTCGGGAGACTGAGGCAGGAGAATTGCCCGGGAGACAGAGGTTGCAGTGAGTCAATATCGCGCCACTGTACTCCAGCCTGGGTGACAGAGCAACACTCTGTCTCAAAACAACAACAATAACAACAATAACAACAAAGAGAGATAGAGTGAGGGTTGATACAGGTGACAAGTCTTACTTGGGGCATTTTGTGTTTGAGATGTTCATGGCACAAATTGAAAATACAGATTTATAGATTTGAAAGTCATTAGCACATATGTGGTAACAGAAGAGATGGCTGTACCAGATGCAGCTCAGAACAGCCAAATAGTCACGCACACAGACAGACACAGCTTGCTGCTCTGCTGCTGGTTTTGGAGGTGGGAGCGCTTCTCCCTCATTTTTGGAGTTCCTTTCCACTGATGGGGAGCTCCGTGGAGCACAGCACTTGCAGCCTCTGCCTCCCCATCCACTTTGCTCAGGTCCATGCGCATGCTGGGCTCTCACGTGTTAGTTTTATGACTAGTAAAGGTGTCATGTTGATCTTACAGTCACACTGGGGGTTAGGGATTCAACCTGTGAATTTGGAAAGGGGAGGGGACATGATTCCGTTCATAATATGGAGTTACGTCTTACTGAACGCCTACTCTTTTTTTTTGAGACAGAGTCTTGCTGTGTCAGGCTGGAGTGCAGTGGCATGATCTTGGCTCACTGTGACCTCTGTCTCCTGGGCTCAAGTGATTCTCCCACTTTAGCATCTCGAGTAGCTGGGACTACAGGTGCATGCAACGACGCCTGGATAATTTTTGTATTTTTAATAGAGACAGGGCTTTGCCATGTTGGTCAGGCTGGTCTTGACCTCCTGCCCTCAAGTGAACCGCCCATCTCAGCCTCCCAAAGTGCTGGGATTATAGGCATGAACCACCGTGCCCAGCCCTGAACGCCTACTCTTGACTAGACACTATGTATTTCACATTCATAATCTCCTGTTCATCCTCATATTATAGTGAGGCCATTAATAACTTGGCCTTTATTTCCAGAATCTGAGTACTGGTCACGAAACAATTTATACTCCCTTACTTAGGTGACCAGATTTGGGGACAAAGACAGCTTAGATAGAAACTTCTGCTTGACTCCTGATAAGCATGAGCATATGGAAAGCTCCAGGTGACGCTTACCAGAGTTCCTTTCTCCTTTCTTGTTTTTTTGTTTGTTTGTTTTGTTTTTGTTTTTGTTTGAGACGCAGTTTCA